GTTTCAGCGATGACTCATCTGAACGCCTCTGATTGGTCCTTGCATTCATAAGCTCAACAGAATCGTATGGGATTGGTTATAATGCGCAGTGCTTTAAAAACGTGTGTCTCTCTGGCCACGTTCACACCGCAGCAGAATACGGTTGTCAGTCCTGTATTTGAGTTCTTAATACGGTTATGTTCACACAGGTCGGTTATTTACGGGCATGACAACCGCATTCTGTAACCTAACTCACACCTGTAAATTTTCAGGACTCACAACCGCATTCTCGGAAGACACGCGCTGTGTGATCGGAACAGGACTGGACAAATAGTCTGTCACGTCATACAGTGCGAGAGAGAGCCAAACGCATGTCTAATGTGTGTTACGTGTTTTTTTACTTGTGTTTTCGGTAACTTATAACGAGTTTACACTGCACGATTTTAGCCCGATTTTTCACTCGCCGACGGGTTTTGCAAAATCGCCGACAAACGCCCGAAATCGGAGGCAAATCGGTGCTCGTTCACGCCAGTGACAATCACGCAGTGTGAATTATCAAAGACGCGATCGTATGGGATGAAATTAGACTCAAAATGATTAATAGATGCATGCACAATTCTGCATAAATTGCATAAATACATGTATCTTACTAACCACAAACAAATACCTTTCAATTTGAGTCTGTGGATAAATGATTGTTCGGGATTAAATGATTGTGCAGCGATTTGTACAAATACAGACATGTTTGTGAATAAAAATGTTTTGTTCTGCATTCATATATCATAAATTGCTCATGCAAAAAGGAATCTATGCATATGTGGATCAGGTGACACGCGTGCATTAATTGATGTCTAGTTCGAGTCAATCTTGTTCAGTTCATTTGGATTTTGAGACTTCATTTTCGCAGTTTATCACGTCCCACGTCCCCCACACACACAACTACCAACGAACAAGGCCCAGTGCAATTCATTAACGTGTACGAAAAATTTGCAATTCGCAAATGTGCGTCACTACACTGAAACAAATGCTTTTCAACCGGTGTCTGCAGAGTTAAGAATTACATTAATGTGCAGCATTTTGTTCAAATAGAGACATATTTGTGAATACAAATGTTATAGTTTGTATTAAAGTATCATGATTTGTGCATGTAGCGATTAAAATGTGCATTTGTGGATCAGGTGACACGTGCCCAAACCACACACACACACAGCTCGCGATCCACAGCAGCTGAGCCAAAGAAAATCAGCGACCACTAGATGGCACTAGCCCCAATCACATGTGTGCATTCCATTGTGTACAGTTTTATAAATGTTACATCGTGTTTTCTTTGTTTCTTTTTGGTTTGGCTATTCTCCTCTGCCTGTAGAAAACTACACTGAAACAAATGCTTTTCAACCGGTGTCTGCAGAGTTAAGAATTACATTAATGTGCAGCATTTTGTTCAAATAGAGACATATTTGTGAATACAAATGTTACAGTTTGTATTAAAGTATCATAATTTGTGCATGTAGCGATTAAAATGTGCATTTGTGGATCAGGCGACGCGCGTGCATTCATTCACGTCTCTTCTGAGTCGATTCTATTTGATTCATTTGAATTTTGAGACTTTCGTTCCGCCCTTTTAGCCTTGCCCAATCCACACACACACAGCTCGCGATCCACGCGCAGCTGAGCCAAAGAAAATCAGCGACCACTAGATGGCACTAGCCCCACTCACATGTGCGCATTCCATTGTATACAGTTTTATAAATGTTACATTGTGTTTTCTTTGTTTCTTTTTGGTTTGGCTATTCTCCTCTGCCTGTAGAAATACAATTAAGACGTTTTATTGAATTTGTTCTAACTTAACTTGTCTTAAGACAGAATATCTTATATTAATTTTGCCAAACAAGAACTTCGTAATCGCTGCACAATCATTTAATCCTGAATTCCACAGACTCAAATAGAAAGGCATTTGTTTGTGGTTAGTAAGATATATGTATAAAATGTATGCAGTACATGGATAATTGTGCGTGCATCTATTAATCATTTTGAGCCTAATATCATCCCATACCTAACAGTCTGTTTGACTATGAGAAGTGCCAGCGATTATCCCTCTGCGTGCCGTAGGTTGCCGACCCCTTGATGTAGATAGATAGACAGATAGATATAGCCTGCTTGTGGTTTTTGAACGCAGGCCTTCTCATTCTTGGTCGCTTGCGTCGTAATTACGGCATTAGCCATTTTGCAATATGTGAGTACCATCAGATAGATAAATAAAATTATGTATCTTAAAAAGCAATATTCGTACACACACACACACACACACACACACACACACGATGCACACAAAACGTGCGCGCGCATGCTCATTCTGGGTCGCGCGCATCATCACCAGTGTTGCTGGCACTGTGACTTTAAGAGCGATTTTCATATACAAATATATAAATAAATAATAGATTCCTCCGGTCCATTATAACAAACGGCAAATATTGTGTCAGAAAGCCAGCGGTTTTTCCCTTTATCATGGTGAAGATCAGCTTTCAGCCCATCACGGGACAAAAAGCCGAGAAAGAGGAGGGTGATGGAGATAAAACTCAAATATTCATACCGCATCCACACGTAAGTTTCGCTTTTTGTGTGCCTCAGCTGAAATGTCACGGAAAACAGCGGCTGAAACGAACCAAAAGCCGGAAAGGAAAGAACATACATGGTAAACCATTAATCACGTCATTTGGTGGGGTGATATGATCTAGTGATAATGCTCCATCAACGCGTGTTTATGTATTTGTAGCTGTTTTGTACAGAAATATTGTTGCCCTTTGGTTTCATAACAAGAGGACATGGATGCTGCAGCACCTGCACCAATCACATCACATCATAAAACATGCATCATGTTTATTTATCTCAGCCATAAAATGTGCACTATATCTCCTTATGCACTCACACTTGTGATGTTTTAATAAAATTCTTCTTCTTTAATAATTTAGTAAAGTGAATGGGGTAAACATCCTCGATTAAACTAATAGAAAACAGCTTAAAACATCCTGCCCTGTATTTTAACATATATTGATTGTAATGAAAACTTGAATTGTTATTGCCAGAGCGTAAGGCCTTTATTATTAAGAGCTTATGACAGGATCCAATTTAACGCGTGTTTATGTATTTGTAGCTGTTTTGTACAGAAATATTGTTGCCCTTTGGTTTCATAACAAGAGGACATGGATGCTGCAGCACCTGCACCAATCACATCACATCATAAAACATGCATCATGTTTATTTATCTCAGCCATAAAATGTGCACTATATCTCCTTATGCACTCACACTTGTGATGTTTTAATAAAATTCTTCTTCTTTAATAATTTAGTAAAGTGAATGGGGTAAACATCCTCGATTAAACTAATAGAAAATAGCTTAAAACATCCTGCCCTGTATTTTAACATATTTTGATTGTAATGAAAACTTGAATTGTTATTGCCAGAGCGTAAGGCCTTTATTCTTAAGAGCTTATGACAGGATCAAATTTGACATAGTGCAGCACAGGTTTATGTGTCTAAGCAACACACAGACACACACAGAACCAACAGACAAAATGGCAGATGGCTACGGTGAGGAGAAATGACTTCGGTGAGCTTTAGCTGTTTAATATCGTTGTGTAGCCTATGTGTGGGTTTTGCTGTCTTTGGGGACCAATTGACCTCCTAACGATGAAAACAACAAGGTGAAGTGTGTGATTTCTGGGCCACTGACATCTGTAATTATTACTTTTGTCAGACTATGCATACTTCCCTACTATAAAATATGCAAAAATCAAGTCAAATGGGTATGAGTATGCAATATTCATGAAACAGCAGGCGAACACCCAGCTAACGGAATATTCTAAGAACTTTGGCTCTAAGAAAGAACATTCTGGAAAGGTTCTCTCAAACGTTCTTCCAATGTCGCTAGTAGATGGTTCACTCAAAGTTATCTGGTCATTCTCAAAATGTTAGCACAAAAACGTTATTTGTACATCGTTCATGGAATATTTTTTCTTTAAAAAGACCCCAAATTATGTTCCCATAATTTTTGCTAAATGAACATATTAATGTTTGCACAACCAAGAAAAAGGGTTTTTTTAATTCTCAAAAATGGACATTCAGAGAACATTCTGGTTTCATAACCTAATGGCAACATTAGCAAAACATATTTTTGTCAGCAGTCAGTGGACACTTTCCCATAAGGCCATTGGAGCTGAGGATCCAGCAATGAAAAACACAAATTGATAAGAAAAAGAAACACTTCACTTTCAATAAATAATGTTTTTCTTTAATGTAAAAATGGCTATATGGGGTAGGTGTTGGATTAGCATATTTTAGATATCTAAAATATAATTATCTTAATATAAAACAATAAGCTGTCGAGTCAGAAGGAAGTCTCCATTATGATATCAAACCAAACGTGTGTGCGTGAGTTAAGAATGGGGCCAGATCAGGCCATGTGCCGTGCATTTGGCAGATGGGTTGCAAGACTGGGGGCGTTATTAGTCATCACCTATCAGCATCTAATAATTTCCTACTGTAGTACGAGAGCACTGAATAATCCATTCTTGGCTGCACGGGATACAAGTGAATGTAGTGCCGATTGTAGCACGTCTCCCAGTGTGTGGGTTATCATACTAAAAGTGGCACAGTATGTTGAGGACATGATGGTTTCATTACTACTGCCTTGTGTGTGTATGTGTGTGTGTGTGTGTGTGTGCATCGGGTTTGCCATCTTGGTAAGGACCAAATGTCCCTACAGAGAGAGTAAAACCTGAAATGACCTACTTTGTGGAGGCCTGTGGGAGGAGCTCATGATAAAAACAAATTCATAAAAGGCCTAAATAATGTTTTCATTCAAAATTGGGTTGTAATAATTATAATATTCTTTATTTAAAGGAAATAAAAATAAAAAAACCATCCCCAATAAGTTATAAAAATGTGTGTGTGTGTGTGTATTTGTAGGTGGAAGAGGAGCTGGTCTTACCTGTCGGAAGGAAACGAGGACATGATGGTTTCATTACTGCCTTGTGTGTGTATGTGTGTGTGTGTGTGTGTGTGTGTGTGTGTGTGTTTGCATCGGGTTTGCTATCTTGGTAAGGACCAAATGTCCCTGCAGAGAGAGTAAAACCTGAAATGACCTACTTTGTGGAGGCCTGTGGGAGGAGCTCATGATAAAAACAAATTCATAAAAGGCCTAAATAATGTTTTCATTCAAAATTGGGTTGTAATAATTATAATATTCTTTATTTAAAGGAAATAAAAATAAAAAAACCATCCCCAATAAGTTATAAAAATGTGTGTGTGTGTGTGTATTTGTAGGTGGAAGAGGAGCTGGTCTTACCTGTCGGAAGGAAACGCTCCTCTCTGAGTGGACTTTGCTGTCTGACAACCGCACTGATTGTCTTCACCTGCAGTTTGATATATGCTTCAATTTATATCTACCGCTACTACATCATTCCTCAGGTACAATTATATGAGTGGCATAAAACTCACAATAATGATTATATGTGGCCCTGGAGCACAAAAGCAGTCTTAAGTCGCTGGGGTATATTTGTAGCAATAGCCAAAAATACATTGTATGGGTCAAAATTATTGATTTTTCTTTTATGCTAAAAACCATTAGGATATTAAGTAAAGATCATGTTCCATGAAGATATTTTGTAAATTTCCTACCGTAAATATATTAAAACTTAATTTTTGATTAGTAATATGCATTGCTAAGAACTTCATTTGGACAACTTTAAAGGCGATTTTCTCAATATTTAGATTTTTTGCACCCTCAGATTCCAGATTTTCAAATAGTTGTATCTCGGCCAAATATTGTCCTATAAATAATGTATAAAAATTGACCCTTATGACTGGTTTTGTGGTCCAGGGTCACATATAATTAGCTACGCTGAAGCTTCAGTTAGTTCTACTTTTCTATTTTTGTAGTAAAATGTTTTGTTAATGGCTCGCTGCTGTGATTCGTCCGCTATGTGATTCGTTTTTGAATTGTTTGAGTGACTGATTCAATGACTCACTAATAAAGACATTTGCGATTCCTGAATGAATCAGTGTTTTTAAACTAATCATTTGAATAAATGGCTCAATAACTCACCTACTGGTGTTGCGGTATAAACTTTAGAAAGAGTCACTGAAAGATTTGTCAGCTTTCCGGAAATGAGCAAACACAGATACGCGGCAGATATCATGTTTATCATGTTAATTCAGTCAGTGAATGATGTGTCAGAATGATTCAAACAGCAACTGAGTTCACAAGTTTCATGATGATTCATGAGGATTGGCTATATAAAAAATAGCGTCATTTGTTCACAAATCAGACTACAGTCATTTTGCTGTGTTTTTAATTCACACCAAAAGGTTTGGTGCGTATGAGTCAGTGTTTGGATTGACTAAATAGAACTGCAGTTGTGAACCAGCCTGCGAGGACAACTCAACAGAAAATAACGATGCTTTTTCTACCTTTTAGTCTTTATCTCATCACATTTTATTCAGACTGCAAATGTAAAATATCATGCTTTACTGTTAAGACTGTAGATCCCGTGTCAACACGCACCTGCTAAAAGCAGTGTGTAGTAAAAGATTGAGTTTCAAATGCGATACTATGAAAATCTGTGTTTTTTATCCCTATTTTTAGTTCCGTTTGAAAGAAATATTGCTGTTATCTTATGTTATTTTGTCAGGGCTTTTGGTTTAGGTTATGGTAATCATCAAAACTACCATGTCATATCATTTAAAATCATGTATTTTATGTGATGGTGTTTCAGGCTCCGGATCAGAGTCGGTTCCACTGCCGTGTCGTGTACGAGGACTCGGTGGCTGCTCCACTGCGAGGGTCTCACGAGCTGGAGGAGAGCGTTGGGATCTACCTGAAGGAAAACTACGAGCAAATCAGCATACCTGTGCCCGACTTCAGCAACACAGACCCTGCTGATATCATTCATGATTTCAACAGGGTAACACTCTTAGCTCTCGTTATATGTACTAATACTAATACATCAACAGAATTTGTTTTCATGTGTTGTGTGTTTGGATTTTAGGGTCTGACGGCCTACCATGACATTGCTTTAGACAAGTGTTATGTCATCGAGCTCAACACCTCTGTGGTCATGCCACCACGTAACCTCTGGGAACTGCTCATCAATGTCAAGGTACTTGTATTGTTTGTATATAAAGGCAGTTGAAATGTAAACTATATCTATTTGATGATGTTGCCTTTCTATCTTTTTGTAGAAAGGCACTTACCTCCCCCAGACGTACATTGTTCAGGAAGAGATGGTCGTGACTGGCCGTGTTAATAACATGCATCAGCTTGGCCGCTTTATTTACCATCTGTGTAACGGTAAAGATACGTACAGGCTCCATCGCCGCACCTCACGTCGTCGTAAGTTCACACATTTCTGCCTCTTTTCTTTAGTGTGAATAGTAGTGGTCAACTAATATGGATCAGTTAATAGCTGTTTTCAGTAGAGAGCATCATATCACACGACTGAAATTAGATAAACATTACATCATATTTAATGGGATAGGTCACCCAAATATGAAAAATAAATAAAAAATATAAACTGACGTATGAACTTTTCATCTCAAAAATAAGTTGCCCAATACCGAGCTACAAGGCCAATTTGGCAATACCATATTACGCCATAACTAATTCTGCATCTTCATGGTGGGAGGAAACTGTGCTCCTGTGTGGCTTCACTGCTGCCATACAAATCTGATTGACGTCCAGCTAAATAGCTCATTGCAGCTAATTAGCGGTACAATTGAGTAACACCCACGGTATGGCTTCCTGTATTAAGCAATCTACTTCTCCCTGGTCCCCGAAGATCTTTTTGTGATAATATAATATGATAATATCCATGGCAACCACAAACTTTGGGGAATGGAGGCAGGCCATCAAATTATGATCCATGAATATTCGATATGTTAGTTCCTATTTTATTCAATTCTATATCCCATATTTTGTGATTACATTATGTATTTTACGGTTCTTGTACATTATATAGTAATCCATGTGCTAAATTAATTCACTGAAAAAGGATTTTTCAAATTAGAAAAAAAAAAAAAGAAAATACAATTTTCTTTTTTTCTTCAAAATTTTAATTCAATCTGTTACTTAATGATTCTCTGTAATTATTTGTGAAATTTGCTAGTAATTTCATAGTAAAAGTATGTATGTATATATATATATATATATATATATATACAGTATCTTTACATTGTAGCAAAGTGTAATTTCTTCAGTGATGAAAAATGAAAAGATATAATAAAATATTTACAAAAATGTGAGGGGTGTACTCACTTCTGTGAGATATATATATACAGTAGAGAGAGAGATTTTTTATTTCAGTTTTAGTTATTTTAGAACATCAAGGTAAACTAAATTAAAATTAGAAATGCTGCTTTGGCAACTGGCTTAAATTCTTTGTATTTTATTTTATTTCATATATTAATTTTTTTTAATGATTTTAATTTTAGTTTCAGTTTTAGTTTTATATATACTATAATAAATAATATAAATAAATACTATAATAACCCTAGTAATTTATAACTATTTTTTTGTTCACGTTATTTCTGTATTTTTCCTGTTAGGTATCACCAAGCGTGATGCGCAGAACTGTCACAGAATCCGTCACTTTGAGAACACTTTCGTGGTGGAGACAGTGATTTGTGAGACTCCATAGGCTGTTTGTCTCTTTGGCCCGCCTATTTCTGATGAGATCACACCTTTTGGTCTCAGTAGCCACACCCCTTTGAAAATCACACTTCAACCTCTAATTCTTCATGTCTTTACACCCCATTTCTCTCTTTTTGTACTTCTCTCTCTGTACCTAGTAATTCATTACAAATGTCCCCTTGAAGGTGTCTGAACAGTTTGTGTCTGCATATTTGCAATAATGAGCATTTTCAAAATGATGCATTTAAAAATGTAACTGTAGCATCTGAAGTCTTCAAATGAGAAGATTACATGGGCATTAAGCTGCACAATGCCTGCATGCTCGTGCCTGCGTGTAACTGGCTGTTTGTGCTCCATCAAACTGCTCTTTGCTCTCTTATATATTTGTGTGTTTTTAGACCTATTCTTGGATAGAGATGCACCGACACTGTGGCCAAAAATACCATAAAATGGTGCGAAAACAGGCCGAAAATATTATCAGAAAGCATCACTCTTACATCCAATCTCTGAACTCAGGTTCAGTTAATGTACACTGCAAAAAAGTAATTTTCTTAGTAGTTTAGTCTTGTTTCCACTATTGGTTAAGCACATTATTATAAAGAAAGTTTGCTTGTGCAGACGTCTTGAGGCTATTTTGCTCAACACATTTGGAATGGTAAAGAGTCTTCTGTTGCTAAAACACAAAACTGTTTTTTGGCCTGATTTGTGTGGTGTTGAGCACAATATTCACTTTTCTTTCGGTGCATCACTACTCATGGATATCCTAACTGATCCTAGTGCCAGTTAAATCGTCTGATGAAAAATCGCAGCCATCATCACATTTATCACATGTGTATGTTTACTACGTATCTCGATATCCAGTATCACTTCAGTGCTTCTACAACACGCTTCCTGTGCCACTTCCTCTTTTCTTCTTTCTCTCTCTGCATGCTTTTCAAGACAACACATGCATTGTTTGAGTATTTTCTTATATGAGTGAAGCCTTAGGCCAGATTCATGCCCTGGACTAATGTATACAATCTCAAAAGCTCTTCATGTTTATGTGTGTTGAAGTTAAAAACCTTGTTTAGTTGGGTGAAGCAAACATGTAAATAAACCAATAAGACCTAGCTATACCACATCTTCTTTTGTCATTTCTGTTATGAAACATTGACAGCATGGGCTTTTTTTTTAAAGGTGACATATCATGAAAATCTGACTTTTCCAGGTTTTAAGTGCTATAATCAGGTCCCCAGTGCATCTACCAACCAAGAAAACGTGAAAAAGATTAACCCAGTAACTTTGTTTTGGTAAACCTTTTTCTGCAAGCGTCTGAGAAAACGAGCGCGTCTGATTTCGCTCCCTTGGTGACGTGGCAAAGGGATCTCATTATAATATTACCGCCCCTTAATTTGTACGTTTACACCCACGGCGCCGTTATTGTGTTTTCGCGACAACGGTGTACTAGTTCTAATGCCATGGCGAAAGTTTGAGCAAAACATGCTAACTGTTCTGCCTTTGGCTGCACAGATGAGCACAGAACACTGTAAACTAGTGTGTGAATGAGAACTTAGTTTAGTACTCACATGCTGTGACAGCCGCTTTCTGTCCGTTTGCTTCGGATGTGTGCGCTCAGAAGACCGTATATCAGAAGTTTAAACTCGTATGATTTAAAACGCATGATTTCAGCGCGATACACATGACAATCAGAACCCTAACCGATGTTTTTAGGAGGTCCCAGCTGTAATGGCACAGCTCTATTCTGGAAAAGGGGGCGGGGAGCAGCAGCTCATTTGCATTTAAAGAGACAGGCCCGAAAAACAGCTTGTTTCTGCTTCCACTCAAAATAGGCATTTTCAAAATGATATAATAAATGATCTGTGGAGTATTTTGAGCTGGAACTTCACAGACACATTCTGGGGACACCAGAGAATTATATTACATATTGTAAAAAGGGGCATAATATGTCTCCTTTAAACAAAAGCAATTGCACAATACAAAAATTGAAGTTTATGTTCCTTAACTGCTTGAAGGACATTCTCAGCTGTTGTTCCAAACACATATGTCATTCTTCTGTGGAACAAGAATTTTTTCCCCATGCAATCGTGCAAAATGAGATCCAAATATGACAAAAAAAAAAAAACATAAAAATAGTTCTTAAGTCTTTTGAAGTGTTGTGATACTGTAGCAAACTGAAAATGTATTCACTGTTAACTTTCCCTCTGATAATCTGTTAAACTGAGAAACACTGTGAGTGGAAAATGCACCTGTTTTATACATCAGCAGTGTTAGTTTACAAAATCTAAACACAGTTTATAGAACAAATTCTTAACAGCTAATTCATGCTTGAGACTAAACATTTTTCATCAAACAGGTTTATTAGGGTTATATAAGATTATTAGGTTTATGGCAGCTAGACAACAGAAACACTATTTTGCATTAGTTTATCTAAAAAAAATTTACAATCTTTACTGCTGCTCTTTATTTGACAGGCATATTGGAATCTATATTGTATTTAGTGAATTTAGTTACAGTATTTGTCACATAGTACACATGAAGTCAGGGGGAGAAAAAGAAGGAAACATGAATCAAAATGAAAATATGACACCTGCAAGGCAACTGATCAGATCTAATCTGTATTAACCATAATTGTTGAAACATAAACCTAGGGTATTAATACAAACTCCTCTTTAAAGGGGTCATATGATGCTTTTTTAAAGATCATTATTTTGTGTATTTGGTGTAACAGAATATGTTGACATGCTTTAATGTTCAAAAAACACATTATTTTTCAAATACTGTACATTATTGTAGGTCCTCTATGCCCCGCCTCTCTCAAATTACAGACACATTCTGGGGACACCAGAGAATTATATTACATATTGTAAAAAGGGGCATAATATGTCTCCTTTAAACAAAAGCAATTGCACAATACAAAAATGGAAGTTTATGTTCCTTAACTGCTTGAAGGACATTCTCAGCTGTTGTTCCAAACACATATGTCATTGTTCTGTGGAACAAGAATTTTTTCCCCATGCAATCGTGCAAAATGAGATCCAAATATGACAAAAAAAAAAAACATAAAAATAGTTCTTAAGTCTTTTGAAGTGTTGTGATACTGTAGCAAACTGAAAATGTATTCACTGTTAACTTTCCCTCTGATAATCTGTTAAACTGAGAACC